TTGTTTTGGTGTAAGGGATGTTAATCAAAATTTTTATTACGCTTCCGCATTTGACCTTTTTAATACACATATTTTATTTTATAATTTCGGGGTCGTTACACCAGGTATTACAATGTATGATCTTTATGCTATTTCATCAAATAAACTATTATGGACAAAAAAAAAGTAATATTTTGAAGACTTGAATTTAGAAAAAAAAAATAATACAAGATCTTTGCATATTTGTCTTTTTCTCTATTTAAAGTTAAAGTCTTTGCATTTTTATTTACATATTCTTCCCATCCAAAAGCCCGATAGATAAATATATCGTTTTTACTTTTTTTTAAAAAAAATAACATACAGTTTTTGAAGCAAACATGAATATTTTTATATAACTCTCATGAGTTTCGTCACTTCATAATGTGATTCTGATAACAAGTTTCCTTCAAGTAAAGTGTTTTTTTAATATTTTAAACATAATTTTTTTATTCATTCATTGATACAATTATTAAATATTATAATTCACCAAAAAGGATAACTTAGTATGCTTCTTATAATTTTGGTGCAATTTTTGTTGGGAATCTCTGGTGAGATCATATAAACATGTCGACTCATAGTTTAGTACAACCGAAAAAGAGAAGGAATTTGTTCTTGAAATTGTAAGATCTTTAAGCAAATTTTTTAACTTTCTTTTTTGTATAATATTAGACCTAAGGTAGAAGAGTTTTTTTTTTTTTTATGAATATCTTCACAAACTAAAATGAATAAAGTACTTGAATAATGATGAAATTTATACTTTTTACTTAAATTGTCAATAATGATAATGGTAGTGTGAACAAATAATCACAATGTGATTGCTTTATGATTAAATCTCTAAATGTGTATGTGAGATTTGTATTTGTTGTGATATCAAATAATAATGAATAATGAATCAAAAATAAAGTAAAGAGAAATGAGAAGGGAGTGTAAACTTTTATATAGTGGTTTGGTTGCACCTTTTATGCTTGCGTCCTTTTTCTAAAACTAATTACTTGAGATCTCACTATTTTTTTTTTGAACTCTTATAACACACTAATTGTTTTTGGTGCCTGACTCACCACCAGTTGATATATTCTTTTCATAAGAACTCTCAAAGGTTTTCTCAAATTTTTTTTCTATTGCTAGTTATCTTTAATGCTCATTCACTAATCCGGTAGTTGTTCTTAATATCTACCTTATCAATTACTCATATTTTCTCATTACAAAAGCTCTCAAAAGTTTCATCAAACTTTTCTTACGATGCCCAAAAAATATAAATGAAAAAGTTATAACTTTATATCTTAAAAGTGTCTTATGGCTCAATAAAGGCTTAATACGAGAGAAGAAGAATTTTTTTAAAAAAATTTAATGCTCAACAACCTATCTAAAATTTGTTAGGAAAACGGACTTATATGTGAAAAGTTCACATAGAGTCATTGGAGATAATTTGAAATATGTTTTGACCTTTTAAAATGATGTAAAAAATATTATTCAATTTTGTAAATGAATTTCTATGTGATGTGTTCTTACAGGTTATGTACATTGATAAATTAACCATACAGAGACATTAATTATGAAAACACTATATTTTTTATAAAAAAAAAAATTAAAATTTTTATGGCAGCATAATAATTTTGCTAACATTTAAAAAAAAATATTTTTTAATGATATCTTTAATTTTTAAAAATATAATTTGGCTTAAAAATACATATGATTTATATTGAAATATGAAGCAAATACATGACTCTAATGTTAAAATATTTTTTCTATATATTTTGATACGAGTTTTGTTGAATTGTCTTTCATACTACACTAGCCACTAATGACAATATCATGTGATCATAAAGAAGTGATTTTTTAAATCACATCTGTTGATCATACAGACAAATATTTTTTTTCTTAAATAAATTCATTTATTTTTAAAACTCATTTCACATATAAATCCTATTCTAGAAATAATTTAAATTTTATTTTTATAGAATTATCTATTTTTAAAAATTTATTTTAAGAATAAATATAACATTCTAATATGATAAATAAATATTATAGGAGAATCTTCATACTTTGTTAATTATCCATTTTTTTTAGTGTTGTATAGAATAGTTATAATATGTTTGGAGGGGGAATATACTAGTGAATTTAATTTGATTGATTACTTATACTGCCTTCTTTTTTCTTTTGTTATTGTTTGGAGACCATGAAGTTATCATTTCTTTTGCATATTAATAGTTTTGTGCTACTTCTTTTATTCTTATTCTAGCAAAACGAAATAATAAATAAAATAAGAATAATTTAACATATATTTATCAAATTATATATTTTATAATAATTGATAAATAATAAAATAATAGAAAAGATGAAATAAAAAATAATTGAAGTTGTATCATATATTAAATTTATTTTTAGAATTATTATATTTTTATATGATAATTCTAAAAGTTTAATTATCGGTAGGTAAATAAAGAAAAAATTACAAAAATATTAAGAAAGCTTATGTTAAAAAAATCTGACTGTATTTTGATATTATACACAAGAATTTATTTATTTTTTTCACATTTTAAAATTTACTTACATAATATTATTATTATCATTATTGAGTCCTGCGTGTGAAATTCAAAACGCAGAGTTTTGGGCAGTCTGAATGAGACATGAGTTGGATGAGCTGGATGACACGTGGCTTGTTGTGATTATATTATATTCATTTGCCTCGTCAGCAATAAGCTCACACTTCCCCTCACGATTTTTTTGTTTTTTGTTCTCTCTCTCTGCGGATTTCCGAACAAGAAAAACAAAAAAAAAAAAAGACGAAGCAGATACTAGGTAGAGTTGGGAGCAAAATCACAACTGCGAAATGGCGTTTCCTAGTTTAATTCGAAGCCGTGCTTTCTGCAGGAAGTTCTTCTCCTCCAAAAAGCACAGCTCCTCCATATTTTGCTCTCTTGCATCTACATATCCGCATCACCTTGAAAATGGCAATTGTACTGATGAAAATATCAAGAGTCTCCCGAGCCAATCATTTTCATCAGCTGCATATCACGTCAGTTCGGGTGGGTTCATGCGGGGAGCTGTATTTTGGGAACCTAATAAGCCCCTCACCATCGAAGAATTCCATTTGCCTCGTCCCAAAGCCGGCGAAGTTCTCGTCAAAACCAAAGGCAATTATCTCTTTTCTTGTTCGTCTTTTGTTTTTTTAGCTAGGCATTTGGTCATTATTCAATGAAAATGCATAGAAAGTAACTGAGTTGTTTTTCCTGCGGATCGTGTTTTTGTTATCCATTGCAATTTTGACTATTGTTCGATTGTTAAATTTCGATGACACGATAATTTAAAAATGAAAAGAATGCTTTCGTTTTTGTCTCTATAAACCCTAAGGATCATCGGTTAAGTGCTTTTAGGAATAAAACGGTGCTGTGGCAGTAACGAAAATTGAATGTTCTATCTCAAAGAAAGAAAGAAGGAAAATTGAAGGCTGGATGCTTCGGTGTTGGTCTTGTTGTTGACTACTTTTTGCGTCACCAAAAATTTGACGTTCTTAACTTACACCATAATCCCCTTATGAAGTTCTAAATTTATATCACTGTATTTTTTTTGCTGAAATTTGCTGTGGCTTTACTAGGCAATGTTCCGATGTATTATGCAAAACTCTGATTTTGTACTGGGTAGTGCAGCCTGCGGCGTGTGCCATTCAGATCTCCATGTGATAAAAGGAGAGATTCCATTTGCCAGTCCTTGTGTTGTGGGGCATGAGATCACTGGGGAAGTTGTTGAACACGGACCTCTCACAGATGGCAAAATCATAGAAAGGTCATTTTTTTTTTGAAATAAATAGAAAGGTCATTTTAACCTGTGTTCTTATTTTTTTTCTTATCCTATAATCAAGATTGTCGCTAATTCCATTAGCTATTTTTTGGACCATTTGGAAGAGGAAAAGAGAGTTTTGAGGGCAGTACATCTTCTGCTAGAAACAGAGTCCACTGGTTTCAGATCTTGAGCATTTTGTTTAATGGTCATTCCCTCTCATTTTGGGAGGATCTAGAAACCCTTATTAATTCTTTGGTTTGTATGAATACTTTGTAATTGCTATTGTTTTGGGTAGCCTCTGGGTACCATTTTATTTATATATTAAAACTTTTCCCCATAAGAAAAAAAAAAGAGAAACTGTATCCAGATCTTTCATGGAATTGTAACTTATTAGGCTCAAACTCTCTCCTCTTAAATTTGGGCTTGTCAAAATCAACATTAACAACCTCGGTTTGCAATCTTTTTCGTAACATGAATTCCTATTGAGTGGCTCTTGCTCCCTCTCCAAAGAAGCACCACTACCATCATCAAACTTGAGACTCATGTTGTCTGGAAAGTAGAATGTCCCTTCCAAGTGCCTCCTATATCCTAATTCGCTAAGAGTTTTTAACCCAAGGAGTGGAACAACTCCTCTCTTGGTCATTTTAGACCACCATGGTCCTGGTCTAAACAACAACTTTTTTTTTCCTCATCTGGTATTGATGTCACTTTCTTGATCTGTGTTGTCTGAACTCTCTACTTCTTTCAATGCATTGAAGCCGATGGGATGGTTCATCTTCATCAATTTTCTTAAACTTCATATATGTTATATCAACAGTGCAAGTAACAATGTGGCATTGGGAGAGTCGTGCAGGAGCGGAGTTCTGAGCATGAGAGGGAATACCATAGTATCTAGCTTTTTATAGTGAGTTTTGATTTTCCTGTCTCATGGAGTAGTCTAGACTTATAAATCATAGCTACTGAAATTAAATTAATCTCTTCTGTGATAAACTTGATTTGAATATTAAGTGTTATCCTCTATTAAAATCTTTATAACTGACCAAACTAAGTAAATTCTTGGTTTTTTCATTTTTTTTTCTTCCGTTGCTTGTTTATTTAACCTCATATAATAGTTGTTTATAATTCTTTCGGGCTGTTGTCATCGTTGCTAACTAGTTTACCATTTTTTCGGCTAATCTACTGTGCGTTCTGCATTCATATTCCATGTCATATATATATAAAGAATTGGGGCACCTGTGTCTAAGTTTTGGACTTCTCTAAGCCATACCAAGTGTTTTAAGCTCAGGGAGATCAGTGACTCAAATGTTAAGATACAGTTTGCTACATCCAAGCCTGATCAACATTGTCCAGGGCTTTAGCCCAGATGGTCGGGTCTTGGTCTCCTTTATAAGGAGGTTCAGATTCTAATCCTGCTTTTAGCAGTTTACACTAACCGAAAACAATTCTTTCTTTTCTTGTGTTTACATTTTATTTTCTTTCTTCATGTGTTATCATTGTATCATTCATTATAAAGTTACTTCAATGATGAAGAGACTGGTAAATAATTGGGCTAATCTAATTTTCTTTCTCATATTTCAGATTTCCGGTTGGATCTCGTGTCGTTGGAGCTTTCATCATGCCTTGTGGAAACTGTTCATATTGTTCAAAGGTGGTGTTAGCAGACTGGTCCAAGAGGCTATGCCTGCACTTTTGTTATTAATCTCTCTAGTTGCCATTACTAGCTGGTCTAATAGTTTGATATATACAGTTCATCAATGGAAGTATTTACAACCTGATATGATAAGTCTCATATTGAAAAACAGGGCCATGATGATTTATGTGAAGATTTCTTTGCTTATAATCGAGCGAAAGGAACTCTTTATGATGGTGAAACTCGCTTATTCCTGCACAGCAATGGTAAGCATTTATTGTCATCATAATATGCTTTAGCTCTTGTCCCTTATCTCATTTTCATTTTACCATATTGTGGTTTAGGATATGAAGCTTAACCTCCCTGGCTATCATTTCATTTCTCCCTCATATTTGACTTTTGAGCCCTGAAATTTAAAAGAGCAGGCTCAGTTTTTTCCTTTGTGATCGAGGTTGGAATGGGTAGTTATGACAATACTGATATTTCTTTCTTGGGGTTTCAGTGGTTGTTTGTGGGGTGTGTTACTCTAGAAACTTATATTGAGTTGAGTTTTACCTCTACCAAAACAATTGGTTGGATGCCTTTGGCTACCTTTTATGAATGGAACAAGAAAAAACAGATGAGTATTTGGAAGACTAAAAAGAATCATTTATTCTATTATAGATTAGTAGACAAATTGGCATTTTTTTAGTTAGAAGGATGGTGTCATGATGAAGAAAATTTTATAGACATGTAGTTTTTGTCTGGCTCTTTTGTCCTTCGGAGGTATCTCTTTGGTGCTTTTTGATATATCTTTTTGGTTGATCAGAACAAATACATGCAACTTATGTTCTGTACTTCAGTACTTGGATTTGGCAATGTACATTACCCTTTACTTGATAATCGGTATCTGTTACATCAAATATTTGCAGGGTGTAACACCTAATTTTTACTATTTTATACCCTATGAGATACTTTTTTGATAGCACGTCATTTCCCAAAGAATCATACAAAACTATGACTGTAGCTTGTGTCAAAGGACAATCTAAATAGCTTTAAACATCCTACAAGTAATATTTTGTATGCCCCGTCTTTTCAAATGTCTTAGTTCATTTTTCAGTTTAAGTGCTCTAATGAACAACAGCTAGTGATTGTAGACTTTCAAGTAATGTTGTATGTAATTTATGGATGTATTTAACAAGGAAGTAAAGCTTGTTAAGCTTTTTCTATCCTACTGTGCTTGGTAAAGATTTAGTAAGTGTGGGCACAAGAAATTCTTGGACTGGAACACTGCTCATTTTTAACTTCTCATACTACCATGAATTGTCTTTATTTTACATGGTAGGACATTGCAGTGACACTCTCTCTCTCTCTCTCTGTGTCCATAGCTATTTACAGTGCACCCATGAAAGGACTGAACCTTAACTGATATTTCACCACCACTTACATGGGGAAAGGAACTGTCAATTTTTTGCTTCTCATTTAGTTGGTTGCATTCACTTTTTTGAATCAATTAGTTTACTAAATTTCACCTGATCTCTCTCTCTCTCTCATGTTTACTCTTTCTCGTGCTCTTATTCATGCAAGTGCATTGCACTCATGTTTGATAACTTGTGCCATATGGGGATTTTAATATATTGCTTATATGCTATATTATGTAGGAAAACCAGTATTCATGTATAGCATGGGGGGCCTTGCTGAGTACTGTGTGATCCCAGCACATGGATTGGCCATTTTACCAAACTCCCTGCCATACACAGAATCTGCAGTTTTAGGATGCGCGGTGTTCACTGCTTATGGTGCTATGGCCCATGCGGCTGAGGTGCATCCAGGGGATTCTGTTGCTGTTATTGGAATTGGGGGTGTTGGCTCAAGGTAAATAATGGTCACTATTCTAATGTTGGAAGCTCAAAAAATCAATTTACCAGTTTCTTCAAACCTAGCACGTGCTCTGATTTCATGGCATAATTTCTCCCACTTGTAAAAGAATTGAAATTTTTTTTTATCATCTGAAACTATTTTAACCAATAGCAGCTGGTATATAATGAAAACTTATATGTATTTTGGACCTATAGAAATAAGTTTAAACTGTCATGGAATTAGGCATAAACATGAAATATTCTCCTAGTCGACTGTGAAATGTGGCTATGATAAGGCATGTCTCTCCTAGTGATGCTACTGTAATCTATCTTTCAATTTAGTGTAATGGATTGAGAGTTTCCCACATCGCCCTACTGTCAGTATTGACATAGGAACCATATTATATTTAGATTCTTCGGATAGTTAGCAACTCAACAAAGTGCATCATGGTTTTCTCTTTATCTCCCCATCTAGGAGAAACAGAATTGAGAAGCGCTTCTCTAATCATAAACTGATATCTCCTCTAAATACTAGAGGACCATAGAGATCTTGGATGAGCTGTTAGCTTCACTTGATAAGAACCCTTGGTTAAGATCGTTACAGTAACATCTTAGAAGAGGATTATAGGGATCCTCTGTTTAGATATTAGCATCACATGATGAAACACCCCTTGTTTAAGATGGTAAAAATAATATTTCTTCCGGATGATTAGTTAGGAATTCAAATAAAGAGAATTCAGAGTTGATTGAAAGCATTGTCAACATAACTTTTTCTATTTTAAGCAAATACATTTCCATAATATCCCTTTTTAGCTTTTGGTCAGTATAATTGTTGGTATGTATCTATTAATGGGATCCATATTTGAAGTGGATCCACACAACCTGATGTTATTCAACTTCATGGAAGCCTCAAGAGATTTTGAGGAAATATTTACAAACTTCTTGACTTGGGACATTATGCTCTATCTTTTTCTAAATGTTACGGGCAGACAGGAGCTACCTATTTGAGACTTAATTTTTATTGGATTCCCTCTAATATGATCGTGACTTGATCAAATGGTTCAGTTGTTTGCAGATAGCAAAAGCATTTGGTGCTTCTGATATAATTGCAGTGGATGTTCAAGATGAAAAACTTCAGAAGGCTAAGACTTTTGGTGCAACTCACACTGTAAATGCAATTCAAGAAGATGCTGTGGAAAAGATTAGAGTGTGCACTTTTTCCCTTGCTTTGGTTTTTGATAGATACAACTCAAATAAATTACTAATGTTGATAGCCATCTTTTACAGGGAAAAGCACCATTGCCAAATTTATTCACATGTTTCATTTAATCTTGCTCGTCTGAGAAAAGAAGAGGGACACAGCTGCATTTATTCCTTATTTTTCATTTTTCTTTTATTGGAACTTATCTCTATAATTTACTTGTTTGGGTAGGAAATAACTGGGGGAAGGGGTGTTGATATTGCTGTAGAAGCCTTGGGAAGACCACAAACATTTTTGCAGTGCATACAAAGTGTAAAAGATGGCGGAAAAGCTGTTATGATTGGACTTGCGCAATCTGGTGCTGTTGGGGAGGTAGATATAAACCGTCTTGTTCGTAGAAAGGTTAGTAGTCAATGTTTAATAAGAAGACGATAACCATAAATTATATGAATGAAAAATGTTGACATGCATTTGTGTTCTTCATTTTATTACTCCTAGAAATGGGTGTTATTTTAATCTTATTGATATATAACACGTTAATACCCTGATATTATTGATATAGGTGTGATTGAATCCTAGACATGATTACGTTGACAGATGCCTACTGATTTATATTTACCACACTGACTCTTCTTCAAAATTAATCGTTCTTTTCAGGTTCTTTTTGTGTATGTGACATGTTATGATTTGATAGAAAAGAAAAGAGAATTGAATGTTTTGAGGGAGAGGTAAAAGAGTTGAAAATGATCTAACCTTAGTGTAATTTATCCAAATAAGAATGGTAAGCAAAAAGAACATTTCAGGAGCACAGGTCAGAAATATTTAAAAAGAAAGTAGCTTACTTAGAGAGTTTTCAAGGTGCAATAATTGGTGGCACTCTTGTTGCTTTGTCACTGTTTAAATATCGTACTTCTCTAGGTCTACTGCTATTGTCCGGAAGGGTTAGACATTTTTGTCATTGTGAATGCCCTGGTGTCATGAGCCAGTTGTCTCGGAAAGTGCCTAGTTTTATTTTAACAGTTAAGATAGGAATCCATGTCTCTATCTAGCTGCTTGTGGAATATTTTATTTCTCTAGTTCTATTACTATTGTCCACAGAGGTCACACGCTCGTCTTTGGGATGCTCATTTGTCAGGACTCAGGAGCCAGGTTTGTCATGAGAGATGAGATGTATTTTAATAGCTATTTATTAAAAAAAATGTATTTTAATAGCTATGGCGTACAGAGGGTACTCAGATCACTTTTAAGTCATTTCTTGCGTTTCTCATTTATTCTTGAATTAAGCCATTCAGATATCATTGTTCCAAGTTCTAGTTGGGTTTTAGGTTGCTTTAGGTTTTCTGACTGATCCCTGGATAGAGTCATGTTTGGATTTTGATTGGGTTGTTGGTAATCCACTCATGCGTTCTTCGGTTTGGTAATTGTACTTTGTTATTTTGTAACTATGGTCCTAATGGTTGACACTTGCTGACCATATTTCGTTATCACCATGATTATTCTGAGGTGTGCCTGCCGTAAATTCCATCATGCAGATAAAAGTCATTGGGTCATATGGAGGAAGGGCAAGGCAGGATCTTCCTAAGTTGGTTAAGTTGGCAGAAACAGGTATATTCAATCTTACCAATGCTGTTACAAGAAAATACAACTTTGAGGAGGCAGGCAAAGCATACCAGGATCTGAACCAGGGAAGCATCATCAGTAGAGCTGTTGTTGAAATAATGTAGCCCTTCCTTACTCCGAGCAGCTGTCATATTCTGGCCACATTTGAAATAAAAGGTACATATCTGACTCAATCTGGAGTCTGTAAGGTAAAACAACAATCCTACTTGAGTTATTGTGTTAATACTTTGCAGTAAATGTGATGCTACGATACTTGGTTGTGCGGCAAGCCAAATTTGCCAACATTAAACACTATACTGGTCTACGCTTGTGATATTGATCAGGGTTTGATCTGGGCTACCCTGCAACCATCTACGACTTTCTCTGTAAATTTTGTTCTCACTAGACCTGTGCATTATGTTCTAATGTTGAATGGCAGTTATTGCTTGGCAGTTCCTTTGTCATGATCTAGATTTCATCTTACAATATGCAGTTGCAGAATAAAGGCTATTGATTTTGTGATTTGCTAATGATCTATGATTCCTGTTTAGACTATTAATGACCAACTTCCAACCTTATCCATGGAAAGGACATTGAAATTCAGATCAAGAAATGACAATAAATAACAACAGAGACTTGTGGTGATGATTTGATGTAAAATGTTTAAGAATATGAAGAAGAAGAAGAAGCATAGTGTAGCGGGGGTAGAGTTGATCTTCTTTCTAGTGTGTGTGACTATAAATATACATACATATATACATACATACTCGAGTACAGGTTTTCTTTTTTTGAAATTTTATGAAAGTGTACATGGATGGCTCTGATTTTTAAGTTGCCTGGAGGGTATATTTGGAATCAAGAGGCTAATTTGTAGAATTTATGAACTAATGAAAAGTATTGTAGATTAAATTATAAATAAAAAACAATGAGAACTAAATTATGAAAAAATTAATTTGTTTTCTAAAATATAAATATTTCATTTTATCATATATGTATATATATATGTATATAAACATTGAAGGCATTCGGAATGGAGAAAAAGAGAACAAGAGTGTGAGAGTCAGTTAGCTTAAGAAGATTGCAATCAATTTTTATATATATAAAAAAAGGAGGGAGATGTCCTTTTTTCTCACGCCAAGCATCTAATACACTCTTTGACTTTCCTGCACGCAATCTTCTCTCTCATTTATTATTATTTTTAATCTTTTTTAACTAGTTCAAATATTGATTTACTGTAATTAATTTTAAAACATATCCGTCTAAAATAATAAATTTGGAAAAATTAAGAATTATATTATATAATTATCAGATTTAAAAAATATAAATAGTAGTTATATATAGTAAAATAAAACTTAAATTTGTTTTTTTTTTCAATTGGACTGATAATCTTTATATTTTTTTAAAACTAATCTGATTACTCCCTCTATTTTTCTTTTTAATTTCTTAATGACGGAAGAGTGGAAAAAAGGTAAGTAGCTTCCTCTTCAGAAGCCAAAATTCAAAGTCATAAAAAATTATTTCTATAAAATGTAACTGTTGTTTAAATTTAATAATAACAAAAGATGAAATTACCATAACTCGCTTGATTCATCACCCGTTAAAGGGTTTTTGGAAATCAAATCTGGTTTTTTATATCTGTTAGGATAATTAATAATATTATTTTACCACCAAGTTTGTAGGTGTTTAGTGTCCAAGTGAAGGAATGATTATATAGTTTTGAAACGCATAAATTTTTGTAGATATTAAGGATTTTCTGAAATGGATTAAGATAATATTCTCTAATTAATTAATATTTTTTGATATTATCTACATAAGAGAAGGCAAATCTAACGACATAAATGCGTGAATAGCTTAAAAAGCAAAAAAAAAAAAAAAATATATATATATATATATATACATATATGTGTGTATGTATATATAGAAAAAGGTTATTTATTAGGAGGGGAGGGAGAGAGATTGGTGTTTGGTGGAATGGAAAAGTTGGGTATTGTAGTTTTGGTTTGTACTCTGGTGTTGGCTCATCATCTTGTTAATGGAGCTTTCACACAGAGAAGATCTGAAGATGGTTCAGAAGAATGGGGATATGTTCAAGTTAGACCCAGTAAGATCAATATTCTCTCCTCCTTATTCTTCGTATTCTTCTTCTTTTTTTCTTTTTTTAAAAATTAAATTTTACTTTAAAGAAGAAAAATGAAAAATATGAATCTAATGGGTTATATATATATGTACAGAAGCACACATGTTCTGGTGGCTGTATAGGAGTCCATACAGAATTGAAAATCCCTCCAAGCCATGGCCTATTGTTCTCTGGTTGCAGGGTGGACCGGTGAGATACTTACATTCTATTTGATTCAAATCTCTTATATTTGTATTCCTTATGTAAATATAGTTACTTGGTAAAGAAGTTATTATTCAACTTTTATTACAGTCGTATTGTATTCTCGTTTTAATTCCATAGAATTTGAGTTCCAATCAAACTCAATGCCCGAGAAACATTTTGATAAATTTTTGGGAATCAAACAAACAGGGTGCTTCTGGGGTTGGGATTGGAAATTTTGAAGAAATTGGTCCATTAGATACTTATTTGAATCCAAGAAATTCAACATGGCTCCTCAAAGCTGATCTCTTGTTTGTGGTATGTTTTAAATTTTACAGGTGGGTTTAGTTTAATTCAAAATTTTCATTCATCGAATGTAACTTGATTACATATCCTGTACATATACATGTATGTGTATATAGGATAATCCAGTGGGTACAGGATACAGTTTTGTGGAGGATTTACAGTTGATACCCAAAACTGATGAAGAGGCAGCCATTGATTTAACCACATTGTTGAAAGAGTTATTTAATAGAAACCAAACTCTTCAGAAGTCTCCTGTTTATATAATAGCAGAATCATATGGTGGTAGATTTGGAGTAACTCTTGCATTATCTGCTCTCAAAGCCATTGAAGCTGGCAAATTAAAACTCAAATTAGGAGGTAATATTTATTTATATTTATTAGTTACTTGTGCTTTTATTACATAATTATATATTTTGTTTGAATTTTCAAGTGTTTGATGATGTATATGTATATATGTAGGAGTTGGGCTGGGAAATAGTTGGATATCCCCAGAAGATTATGTGGTAATTAGTATATATATATATATATATATTTTTTTTTAAAAAATTTATTTTATTGGGTCAATAATAAATTATATATACAATCATATTTTTTTGAGAAATAATATTGCAGTTTGCATGGGGACCTCTTTTGAAGGATGTTTCCAGGCTTGACAATACTGGGTTTCAGAAATCTAACAGGTTTAAATTCATTAAGAACATTTTTTATTTTTTTGGTTCAGAAATCTTTTTTGTGGGAAATAATATAATTAATAATTAATTTTTGGGAATTATCAGCATTGCAAAAAAGATTAAAGAGCAAATTGCAAATGGTGAATATAGTGCTGCAACAGATTCATGGTCTGAGCTTGAGACTCTCATTAGCTATAGAAGCAATAAAGTGGTAATTATATTTATTATCTTCTCTCTACATATATATATATATATATATATTATATTAAGTTTGAAGAACAACTAAGTAGATCCCTCAAAATTTTAAAGATCTAAACAATTAAAAAAATTTATTAAAAAATCTCATAAACCCCAGATGCTCATATACTTGAAAAATAAATAATTGGCAAACACATCATGTGTTGATTATGAATAGTAAAAAAAAAAAAATGCAGGATTTTTATAATTTCTTGTTGGATTCCGGGATGGATCCCGTAGCCACAATGAGGCAATACTCGACGTATCTGAGCTCGTTGAGAACTCCCGGAGGCGGTACCGGAGACCTTGATACCTTGATGAATGGTCCGGTTAAGAAAAAGCTCAAGATTATACCAAAAGATGTCACGTGAGTTACTTACATTGTCTGTTTTCTTTCTTTCTTTTCTTTCCTTTCAAGTAAGGTAATGAAATGAAATCTGTGTATCAGATGGGGGGGGCAATCGGATGATGTTTTTAGTGCATTTCAAGGTGATTTTATGAGACCAAGGATTAACGAGGTAATTTTCACTCTTCTTACATACATACATACATACATTTATATACGTATGTATATTCACTGCATGAATTTGGTTTACTGCAAAATTTCCAGGTTGATGAGCTTCTTGCTAAGGGAATTAATGTCACCATATATAGTGGGCAAGTAAGGCTTTTTTCACTTTTTACTGGTTTTATGAAACTGTGGTATGACTCAAATCCGTAGTCAATCCTATTTACGTTAAGAACAGTCGACAATGGAATTCAGATATCTTCTTGACTAATCGTAAGTTTTTTCTTTTGATAGCTTGATATTATTTGTGCAACCAAGGGAACTGAAAGATGGCTTGAGAAGCTCAAGTACTGTTACAATACATACTGCACACACACACACATATATATATATATATTATTTTTTATTTTTGGTTTTGTTTTTAAATAAAATATAATAGCATGTGATGTTATAATATGACAGATGGGAAGGATTGCAGGAGTTTTTGACGATGGACAGAACTCCCATCTTATGTGAAAATGTGAGAGGAACAAGAGCTTTCACCGCTTCCTACAAGAATCTACACTTGTATTGGGTTCTTGGATCTGGCCATTTTGTAAGAACTTCCTCTCTTTTATACATATATATATATACATACACCTACACACACACACGTACGTACAGAGTATAGTGTAACGCAATATTCTTTGTCGTCTCCAGGTACCAGTAGATCAGCCCTGCGCTGCATTAAAAATGTTGGGTGAAATTACAGAGTCACCAGCTGCTGATTCTTAGGCAAAGATGTGACATTCTCCAGCTCACCCACCCACCAAACAATAAACTATTATTATTAATATGTTATCTTCTTCATTTATATTTTCTTTTCTTTTTTAATTTAAAAGTCCCTCCTCCACATCTTTATATTGCGTTGTGTTTTCAATTCATCCTTCATAAATGCTTACGCACATGTAAGCATTTGTAAAATAATACGCTGCACATGTTTGTCTATTTTCATTTAATACATTAATTTTTTTTATTAAAAATTCATTATCGCTTAAATACTCAAATAACCCCACATGGCTACTTGACTAATTTTCTTTTTTATATAAAAATCTTGTTATTCCCCTCTTCATCTTCCTCTTTTAACGCTATAAATTCACAGTTCTTCACCCCTTTTTTTTTTGTAAAACTTTGGAGATACTTATAACTTATATATATATATATTTTTATATTACTTATAATATTCAGTTGGAAAAAAATAATAATGATCGCTGATAAAAATAATTAAAAAGAGGGTCACGAAAAAGAAAATATTTTACAACTCAAACATTTTATTAAGACAAGATATTATATATTACAATGCAGACTGCCAAATTATAATCAAAGAAGGCTTGTGATTTCGATCAAGCAGTCAAATATGAATTACATTAAAATCTCAACATCCCAAAAGGTACTTTCCGACAAAAAAAAAGAGAGGTTCTGGGGTGGGGGAAGCAAACTGTTTGAGAATCTCTGTGTTGTTAACTCTTCCTTCTGTTTTCTAAAGAGAGAAGAGAAAAAAATAAAAAATAAAAATAAAACTCCATCATACTTATAAGATAGAATATGCTCGGATGACTTCAACTGCTGGTGCTCGACACATTGGACACTTCCCTCTACTTTGGACCAACTCATTTGCACATTTTGAACATGCACACATGTGTCCACATCTGTACAAACAACACCAGAACAGGAAAGTAAACAGCCTAGGATATGAACCTTAATTGGAAATACTTCGTCTAATATGGATTAATTCTATAGGCCCAAACAATCGTTTTACCTATATATTAGAGAGTCAATATTGGCCTCGCAACACATGCAGCAAATTCTCTTCCTAATGCAGTCCCATCTAGAGTCATCCTTCGGAAAACTATCTTCAGACAGCCCTAAAACAAAGCAAAGCATATAAGGACAGAACAAATAATCATAATAGATTATCCAACATATATGGATTTTCCATGTCATTAACCTTCAGCCATGAAACTAGTCATATTTGACAGTCTTTTAGAACAACAAAGTATTTTCCCACCCAGAGGAATATTTTTATTTTAAGTATAAATGTAATAAATAACAATATAATGGATCATATTCTCTCTCTTGCAACATATTATTAAGTGATATATATATATATATATTAAAAATGAAAAAGAAGATTATTATTTAAAATAGTGGATGGTTCTAGAATACTACTTGCCAATAAAATATGAGCTCTTTTTGCCAAAACAAATTCCCAAGAGAAGCTACTACTATTACATGTCAAATCAAGCATGGAGGAAGGAAGCCAGTGAATACCTTGTGAACCAGCAGAACGATTCAGAGCAGAAGAAACCTCTTGTTTTATTGATCGTTGCAACTCAAGTTGCATATCCATGCAGGCCTCCAGCATTCTCTGCATGTTATTCATCCTCTGCTGTAGCCTAGCCATGTCAATCCTCAGATCATTAATTATCTCCCACTCCTGCACCAAATCACCAACATAATTCAATATAAGTTTTATATATTTAATCCCAAAAGGAAGATTCTTTTTTTTTTTCAGAGAGAGTTGTACAAACGCAGAGTTGAAATAATGAGTGCAAAGATGTACTCATGCATTCTAATTCGTGGTTCTAGAAGTGGGGAAAAAAAAGTAAACAAAGAGGAATTGTTTCATAGCATGAGCATTCAAGGATCAAGTTTTGGAAGCTTCAACAAAAGCTTTCCAAGACTGTACTAAATATACCCGTGCATTAGCACAATGCAGAATAAATTAAAAATAAACGTTCCCTCTCTGGGAGAAACAACAAAAAAATTTATCTAGCAAAAGGAGTGGGCATTACAGTAATTATCGAGGAAATCAAAGCTACAAGAATCAGTTGAAGAACGCACAATACCAAACCGTTGATGCATGTCGTGTGGTGGCCACTGATCATGTCTTTGCTCATGGTCCCATAGGGATGGCACAGGAATTACTGAGGGTGATGGTACTCCAAGCAAATGATTTTCATCAACTCCTTCACCTTCGTTTTGGTTACCACTCTGCTGCTCCAGATCTTGGTCCACTCTGGCACCAGAAGATGTCTCGTGCAGCTCCCAGTCTAGGGAAGCATGATTTTGCCTTTCCACATATGATTGAATCAAATGGTTAAGACTCTCTCGGAAACCACTATGAAGAAGGCTAGTCACACGTCTCCTACAGCATAAGCACAGATTCTAGTTACAGAATTATCCAATGTAGGATTAAAAAAAAAAAAGGTTTTTAACAGCAATAATTTGTACTACCTGGTTAGGAGTTCTCTGAGTTCCGTGCTGTAACCATTATCCTCGTCAGGTAGATAAAATGGAACTGCCCTGCCAAGAGGAACTTCTTGATCAGAACGTTCTTCTAACCAATTTTGAAGACCATCAACATCATTCTCCAACTCAGGGGCTTCTTGCGGTTGATGCTGTTGACTATATTCAGTAGCCAACAATTGTTGGGACCACGAATTACTGGCATTTTCTTCCAGATTGTGATTCATATTTTCAGAAGTAGCTTCTCCCTGTTCTACAGATTCAATGGCAGTCCTTCGCAAGTCAATTTCTTCATTATAAACAGCACTCTCTAGCTGATTTGTGGTTTCAACCAGGTCACCTTCTAACATTTCTGAGATGACAATTAATTCTTGGATAGAACTTTCCTCAATAGTTTGCTGAGTCTGTTCATGTAATATTTCATCTGCTTCCTCTAGATGAGTAACATCTGCAGCTCCATTATCTAAAGTCTCTTGCAATGATTCATTCTCAGTATTCTCTATCGAGCGTTCACCCAAACTATCCTCTGCAGCTACGACCCTTTCTGAGAACTGAATGGTGGTTGACTGTTGCAACTCGCTGTTGCAGACTCTATTCTCAGGAACCTGTATGTGCCACTCTTCTACAGGGCCTGTGGCTTCTTGCCAACTGGTATATTGAATGATGTTATGTTCCAAATCAGCTTCATTATCCAATAACCCATGATTATTACTTTCTCCATTATTCTGTTCAGGTTGGTCAATAAGACCATTAGTTTCATGCGAACTATTTGTATGGTTTTTTTCATTTCTGTTATCATTAGTATCAGCATTGGATGAGGTATCAGAGTAACTGCTGCTTGTTTGGCTGCAAACTGAAGGGTCCTGTCTGGAAATAAATCCCTCTCTGATACCAAAGAGGAGTATGTAAACAAGTTACGAATGATGCCCTAGTAAATGTTAATAGGAAATAACTCTAACGTGTAGGCACTTAAACTAACAGAAAGAAGAATAACTTAAAGTGTAAACCCAAGTATTTGAGTATAAAAACAGATGCATGTTGTAGAGTTGTCTCCGTGATGGACAGCAGACAAGAAAATAAGAATATATTCAAAAGGGTGTTTGTGTTACTGAAAGAATGCATTTAAAGAACTTAGGTGCTGATTTAGAAAATTAGTTAAATGTTAAAAGTTCACCACTTGTTGAAAACAATATTTGAGCATGCAAATAAAAGAAGTGCCTGGGACTATGCCAAAGTCAAAGATGCTTATTTCTTTCCCAGCTTAAAGTTTATCATAAACACCTGGTAATCAGCCTGCTCATTAAATTATCAAACAAGTAGAATTGAGTGAGATACCTACTAGCTGCTTTTAAGCAAAAGCCAACACTCTAAGTTACATAACAGTATATTTCTCCTTTGGAATAGAATCTTTAGAATATGGCCATAAATTCTTATGCCATTTATCAGAGCATTACATATTAGGATCCAAAACAAAGCAAAGTTTCTAAATTGAATCTTGTCAGAACATATAAATGATAGATCTAGACCATTCTTACTAGCATAAGCTTTGATAACTGACCATCCAACAAAATTATTTAAAATGGTATCGTGACAAAGGTTCTAGGATCAACCAATTCTGTGAAGTAAATGGGCAAAAAACAAAAAGCTCCAAGGAAGAGCTAGAAAATCAACAATGTCATTGACTTCTAAAATAATCCATAGTTGGGATTCGAATTAGACGAGCATGACAATATCTTTGTTATAAATTGATATAAGGAACCAAGTACCTCAGATCAGATACAGTGTGCCTTTCCCTCAAAAATCCTAATTCACTGGCTGCAGATGATGCAGGTCTCTCAGCTTCACCGATTCTGTCATTCCACAAAAATCTTCCTCTAAGCAATGACTACAAATCAAAGTGAATAAGATTTATGAATAAGTTTAAAATCCCGGCAAAAAAAAATAATAATAATGATCCATTCATCCAAGCACCTACATAACCAAGATACAGAAGAATCAAAGCACATGATCACAAAGGTAAAAAAAATAAAAATAAAAATAAAATCACGATAATTGATTTACAAAACAATAAAAGGGAAAAAAATCCTTGGTTACTGTCCGTTGCAAGAAAGTTCTAATGCATAAAACAAATGAACAAATATATCAAAATAGTTAATTAACCTATAAAAAACTGAAAAAGGAGGACCTAACATCTCTAAGCATCAATAATATAGTTAAGTGCCCTTTCAACTCATCAACCATTTCACAAGAGTCACAATCAAACAAGATTCAAACGCATAAATGCAAACTGGTTAAGAGAAAAAGCTAATGTCAATTATATCTACATTATTGCCG